TTTACTTTTAAACTTGTTTACTTCTATACTCAACACAGTGATTTCAATTAATATGGCCTAGAAGAAAACAGTTTAGTAGCACAGAATAGTATAGTATTAGTAAAACAGAATAGTATAGTATTTACATTATTACTAATACTCACTCAGTAAATTTTAAGTTTTGGATAGCAAAAACTTTTCAAAGCAAAAAATGTTCACTTTTATTAAATATAAATTATTTGCAATTATGATGAACGAGAAATAAATTGCATATTGTAAGACTATAATCTAGTACATTCAGTGACTTGAAACACGGGAACAGAATAATAAAATTAATTGTAAGAATATTTCTAGTTGAGATTACTTCAAATATTTGACTGCTACTTTATCAGTATTATCAAAAAATACGAATAAACGTAATTAAGAATGAAGAATTAATCAATCATTTTTAATTAATTCAGGTTTACAATTAAGAATTACATCAATCTTAGTTAATTCATATACGTGTTTGCACTTTGACTTTAACGTACTAATTTGTTTATTTATTATTTCACTTACGATTGATATGATTGATCAAAAAAAGATTCTCGATAAAGTGATATATTGGATCGAAAGCAAAATTGCTTCCTTTCTCGGAAATGCGATTTAAAAAAATAATCGTATCAAGCTTATTGTAATAAAAGTCTTGAAAACTTCTAATACTTTAATAAATTTTATAAATGCTTTTTACTTTAAATGTTTATCTCCAAATTAGAAAAATAAAGAACAATTTGTCTAATTAATCTTTATTTTATGACTTGATCTTTAAGTCTGAGCTCAGTTTCTCTCTCGAATATAAATTCAAACAAAGAAACTTTCCCGCCTTTTGCATTGGTCAATTTAATGTTGTCATAAATCAAGTTTTGCGCTTATCAAAAGTTACAATTTTGACTCTTTTTTAAAACGGATAATCGCTACTAGAATTATTGATCATAATAAAAATTGTACGCTGCTTACGCAGAATTCAGAAAACAGTTTGCAAGACTTTCTTGAGTTTAAAATATATTAGGCTTATTGACAGCTCTTACTCAATTTTTAAGCATAAAATGCATCCCATTAGATTAATTTAATTTTACTGATATTCCTTCCTATTTAAAATGTGCACGAGATTACTGCAATTTAGCTGGAATGATCCGAGATGATTATGAATATGCGCTAGAAGGTGTAGCAGTCGATTATGTGACTATTCCCCCTCGAAATATTTCAACCACTCGTAAATATCGAAATCGAGAATGGTTAAATCCTTTCGACTTCGAAAACTCGATCATGTATCAGAGAAAATCATACTAACCGATCTTGTTTTGAACCGAGTCATCATCGGCAGTAGATTGTGGATGATCAAAGAAAGCTAAGCTGAGCTATTTTTACACTTTGAACTGGATCAATGATATCAATGGACTCTTGTTTTATCCTTTCTTTATTCGGATATCATTGGCTTACCAGGACATTTTCACGTGAAACTTTAAAGAGTCTAGTCGCAGGTGACATTTGAACGTTTATCAGCTAGTTTTGACTGTGTATGAAAACTTACTCTATTTGGGAACATTTTATTAAATCAATCAACAAAATTACCCAATATAATCACCACTCACTACTATAGGAGAATAGTAAAATTTTACTTTGTATGAATTAGCAATCAGAAAATTTTAGACGCCTTTAAATAGTATCAGACCTTTATAGCTTAGGGAATGTTATTTAACAAAATCTTACTTTAATCTGTAAACTCAATTACACAAATCTGTACATACTCGAACAAAGTATGCCAACAAGTAATTTCTATAAAATGTCTGACGGTAGCAATAATTCAAGTCATATAATAATCGCTGAACCATTTATCCCTTCCACTTGATGTGGGTACCTCATAAGTTTAAAAGTTACCAGCTATTTGCATTTATTGTGAAGGCGCGGAACTATTCCCGATGCAAGTAAATTCTGCAACATTTTATTAAATAACACAGAAGCATTTAGGTTCTTCCATGAATAAAAAATCTTGTCGAAAATACTTTTTCTCCCTATAAAGCCACTGATCTACTCAACACAATCCCAGACCAGATCAGTCAGACATGACCGCAAATGGCTTCGCCAAATCACTGATGCAAATCTTATTGCTGTCCAGTGGTTCAGTACAACCTTATTTACTGCATCACAATTTTTTGTATCCCTTAGCTATCCGTGATCTCATAAAATTGCTCTTATACTCAATGTTTCATACTAAATAATTCCTAATTCTCCGTCTATTTATTTTATCTTGAATACTTGTTATCTTAATGAAAAAATTTCTTGTTGCTTGCATCGTTACAATCATTGATATGATGATCAAACTATGAATAAAATTTGATTTTAGATTCAAACCACTCGATGATTCTGATCTTTGTGAAACGATTTAAATTTTAATCACAAACTTAAATCAACATTAAAGTACACTAAACGATAGCTGCTGCTTCGAGGTATCGAAAATAAGTGTGCCAGAACGAGGAACAATTTGCTATCAAAGAGAGGCCTAATATAATCAATCACTCTTCCATTTCATATTTATAACAAGCGAATAAGACATAATCATCTAACAATGACTTGAGAACTTCGTGAGGATCACTTGGGGATCGACTTTACTAAAAAATCGCATCATTATGAAGTCACATTTATAGAGATTTTGAAAATAGAAATTTCCATGAACATTTCATACTTCACTGCACAAAACACAAACAAAAAACGATCTTAATTTGTAAACAGCGTTATTCATTACCGAGGAAATAGATTACCATCTTCATTCTCAGAAATTAAAAATAACTTTGAGATGGTAAAAATGCAGTGAAATATCTCCATTTGATGCTTTTGCCAAACATAATGGAGTAGTAGTAACAGTGCAGTGAAACCCCAGAATGTTATTTCTCCTTTAGCGCATGTGGGAAACAATTTGCTGGATGGAGCTACGTAGAAAAGTACAATATGCGTCTTAAATCACTGGTACAGTTATAACAATTTAGTTAGTAATCACTAATCTTCTTTGGCATATTAAATGCAAAATATGTTAAAAAACTGACTTCACAACAGTCTGACACCGTTTCTTGCCTCCTTTTTTTCCAGCCAAATTGCTCTCAAAACAATAATTTCATGTAGTTTTTACAATAACTCATTGGGTCTCACACTTACAGAGAAAACCATATTTTTCATCTATCCACCAAAGATCACAAATCTTCATCATCATTATAAACAATCGCTTGTTCCAACATTCTATCTTCATTCATTGTTACAGTCTATAATTTTGGAATTTAGATATGATAAAAAAGTAACTAGTATCGTTTTTATATAAATTAAAAAATTTCACAGAATAATCTTGAGAATCAATCCTTTTATAAATACAAATAAGTATAAATCGAATCAATAAGTAGGGAGTTAAAACAGCAGAATGTGCGGGATTCATTATTTTCGGTTAAAAACTTGATATGCGAGAAGAATATTTTGGTAGCGCGATCTCATCGGTATGTTCACAGACCTTATGCAGTCTCATTTACTAAATAATGGATTTCGTCCGCTGTAAGATCATTTAAAAAGTTTAAAGTACACACAAGATAAAGATTGCATGAGCAGATCACACTCGTTGAAATCACAATTAAAAGACTGATTTAACGGCAGGCGACGAATCTGTTAAAATTTTAGATATTAAAGTTCGAAATACAATAATTCTAATGTCAAAACAATTGAAATCCTATTAAAGAAAGACCATAACAGAAGACTAGAACTCATTAGAAAAATTGCTATTCAAGCATATGTTCGTTATGTGCAGCATATAGGTCTTTATAAATAAATTGTAGTTTTCGAAGCTTATATCTATACCGAGAATTATAAATATTAATCAAATGCTACCAAACTCGCCTGAAATTAGAAATTCTGACCTCTTATAAGAAATTATTGAAAAAAATTATATAAAATAACCTTTAGGTCATCAGTATTCTGTGCTTCCATTTCAAAGCCAGGTTTTTTTATTTCATGTACTGAAGGCTGAAGAATGTCTTTGAATTCAGGGTTCTCATCATCATGAGTGGTAGATGTGACAAGTTCATTGCTTGAATCATCTATCATAGGTCTCTGTGCAGTCATTTTTTCTAGAGATGTATTATTGATTTCCTTGTGAATCTATTCGAAATAAATGCGGAAACAATTATAAAGGCAACAAAACAGCTTAAAAAATACGCTGGGTCAGCATTTCAGCCTTCATATAAATTATATGACAAGGCTACTGATGTACAGCATTTATAGATATCACATAAACATATGAAGATATGATCCTTCATTGCTAGGTAGTGATAAAAACTGTACAATGATCTACTACTCCTCGTGAAAACCACAAATGATTGAATAATTTTTACGTTTTCACCATATCTTATAGAATGTTTGACACTTTTCTACCAAATTTTGCGCTAATATGCTAAAAAGAGTATTTGGTTACCAATTTCATTTGACTCTAACTCTGCATACTTATATTCTTCATTGCTAGGTAGTGCAATGCCATTATGGTTCCATTCATCTTCTCTTGAGTTTTCAACATACATATCGTCAAATTCATTACTTCGCCATCGATCGTCTTGTGTAGCGTTATATGCATCTAACACAATAAAAAAATCTTAAGTTTCAAAGAGTGCAAATTTAAATTTATTTGATAAAAGCAATACGGCGAAATATGCTTTATTTTTTTTCAAAAAAATTTCAATGTTAAGAATTGATCTTTCGATTCAATATAAAGAATAAGAAACCTCTTTTCACACAGTGATTTTATTATATATAACTGATTAAGGCTACTAGTACTTCTCAAAATGATAAAAAAATTAAAATGCCATTTAATATCATGAACGACCTTAGAGACATGCAACTCAACTCAAAGTCAAGAAATAAACCTTTTATACAAAACAAATCTTAAAAAGTGAATCCGCTGAAGTAAACCTGAATTACTACTCTGCACGGTGGGCGCAAAATGTCGAGGTGGATAATGATTGCGTGGACCTCTTCCCATTCCTGCAGGGTGATGCATTGGTGGTGTCGGTGTGTGCAAAGCCTAGATGAAAATGGAGAAATTTTGTAATATTTCAAAACGTTGACTGTATTCTGAAGAAAATATTAGTAAAAGTCAACCTACTCCTCTAATCGGTGACCCTGCAAAAGAAGGCCCTCCACCAAATGGCGCAAACGGTGGCCTGAAAAACATATTGACAGAAATTTTCAGACACGCAATATGAAATATTTGATAAAGCTTTTCAAACTTTCTTGTAAAAATCAAAATAAGTTCAAAAATGTACCTTCCTGGGAATACTCCCGGCCGATTCGTTCGAAGTCCCACTGATGCACAAGAGGCGTTATATCTTGGAGGCGGTACATTATAATTTGTCATGAAAGAATTAGGTCCTGAAAATTTTATGCATATAGTCAATGGAAGCAAACATATGAGTTCATCTGACATAAAGAGTTTGTAGAAATCAATGAAAGCATTGCATCATTTTTTTAAAATTATTTACTTAACAACCTGGTAAACGTATTCCTTCCAAATTCATCATATTGTCCGTAGCCTGAAATAATATATTTATGACCTGAAGTTCTAAATGTTTTAAAAATTTGATTTTAATATCATTCTGAAGAAGTCTTAGGAGGATGAAAATCAATTCTAAAGTAAAACTAACTTCAAAGCTGAATCAGCTCCAAGCAATTTAATATATGTCAAGTTGCTATTAGTGATGTGAGACTCTTTGAAATGCTCTAAAATGCGACATTTTTTGCTTTCATGAGTGCATTTCCTTCATCACGTACGAAAAAATCCCAATAATAATGAGATATTTTTAATTAGAAAAACCTGTCTAGGTGCTGGTGATGCGCTTGATGCTAGAGTTTCCCCTTTTGAATAATCCTGTGATTTTGGTCCAGATCCAACTGGCTTTACCCCCCCTCCAATGTGTGGTGGTAAAGCAGGTGGAAAAATACCAGGAATCGGCATCATTCCTGGAGGTAAAAAGGGAGCAGTTCCTGGTATTCGTGGCGGATGATTTACTGTAAAAATAATATTGCTTGTAAAATGCAAAATTTTTGTAATAAAATTATGTTGAAAATGCAGATTCAATTTGTATGTAAAAAATTTCAAATGCACCAAAAAAATAATGAAATTCAACGTCATAAACATAAAATAACTGACGTAAGATTTGAACAGAGGCTATAATTTATAAATGAACGACCTGGAAATTGATACGAAGAGAAGTTTGGAACCATTTGTGGCAACTGTATGTTTGAAGTACTTTGAGATGAAGCCGGTTCTGTGTCAATTCGCTTTGCTTTCAATCCATGTTCATCATACAAATCTGTAATGATCAAATTATTCAACTTCATAAAATGATGTCTTCATATTAAGAGAACTTAAATAAAAAAATTAAAACTCTAACTTACTTGCAAGATGAACGGGCAATGATTCTACTTCAAGATGCCCTCCTTCTATTAATGTTTCTAAGTCATCCGGAAGCATATTGTGCGGAATTAAAGAATACCCTCGCTCTGCATCCCAGTATTCGGCGTATTTATCTCTTTTTAAACCTTGTCCAATACCCCAGTTCAACTACAAATGCAACTTATCACATTACTATTCATTTAATACAGAAATGAGAAAAAATATAGCATGATGAACACCCCTTAATATGATGAAAAACTGTAATAGAACAGATAACGTCTTAACAGATCATTTGAACATACAAAAATTTGAGAAAATTTCAGAAATTATATTACAATAAAAATCTATACTGTTCCTCAATATATTAATATATAAATATATTCTTTCCTTTAATTCGTATATATAATTACACTGTTTCAAAACATACTTTGACACATTTTTCTCTGATTTTGAAGTTCTTTTGCATACGATCCATAACTCGATATGCTTCTTTCCTATCTTTCATTGTAACATACGCGCATGCACGAGAATGTATAATACTAATCCGCGATGGTTCACCACCATCAGTAATTGCTTGACGAATGTCATTTTCCGTACAGTTACTAGGGATTCTTCCTAACCACAATGTGCATGATGCTACTGCAATTTTTTACTTATTTATGAACTGAAAAACACTTCTGGATGCTACCTGAATAAAGCAATTCAAAATTAAATTACTATTAATGAAACCACAATACACTTCATATTTGAGAGAAAAATCCTGGTATCACTATATCTATTTCAAATCAAGTTTATAATGTTATATAAATGTTTAGGTTGCCTGTACTTGAAATTTGATAATGCTTAATAATATCATTTTCGAGTGACTAACTCAACAGATATCCTTCCTTTGGTGGCCAAGGCAATCCCATTTTCCGCCGATATCGCTCCAAATCTCTATACTGCAATGTAATTGTTTATTAAAAATTCAAATGCTGAGTATAGATAACTCAATTTTGTTTAAAATAATTTTGCTTCAGCACAAGAAGTTACTATAAATATTAAAGAATATGTTGAAATATGCAAAAACATCGAATGGAAATGAGTAATACTCTTCTATGATTGCTTCACATAAACTTACTGCCTTTAAGAGCCAGAATGAAAGTAGAAAACTCTAACAGTGCCAAGCAATTCAAAATTAAATTACTATTAATGAAATCATAACACATTTAATATTTTGAAGAAGAATCCTGGTATCATTATATCTATTTCAAAGTCGTAGAAGACATTGTAAATCTTACTGATGAATTGTTATGATCACGCTCAGATCGTTCCTTTTCAATTCGGGTACGTGATGTACCTCTATGCCCATGACTACCACTGCGATGATGCTCCCTTCTACGATCCCCATAGCTGTGATCACGTGACCTGCTACGTCGGACACGTTTTGATAGATGCACATCTGCGAAACCCCGATTGCTTGTCCTATCTCGTTCATGTTCATGATCTCTATACGTTTATCATTAGTACTAAAAAAATTGTTCTAAAACTTTTAAATTTATACCTGGAACGACCCCGCCGTCGTTCTTGATCTTTGTCAAGTTTTTCGTCCATGCGGTCAGTTCTACCTTGAGTCCGCCCTGGTCGCTCATCTCTATCGCCATCAAATCTATCGGTATCTATTCGTTGATAACGATCATCCTGTATTTTAAATGCCGTATGTGTAATGTGCAGATAAATCCTTTTAAAATTTAGGAAAAGCAAACTACTTAGCACTATACCAAATACTGTAGGCCACTTTATTTCATAAATGCAATTTTATCATATTTTTCAGTTGAAAATTTACTAATGCAATAACCAACAAACTTGATCAATGTTACTACGATCTCGACTGATAGAATTTGTAGCATTTGCAAGAGGTGCAGGTAAAGAGGTCGAAATATGTGAAGGTACTATACTCATAAGACTTGGTGGATGCATGTTTGGGGCGAATGGCGCTAATCCACCAGTATTAAATAACTGAAAAAAAGAAAGAAGCTTATTAAACATAAACATATAAATGAAAGGCTAATTAAATCGCTTTACTAAATAACATGTTGCTAGAAAAAGCATATATAAAGTAAACAGCTATGAACGAAAAAACATCATCTATAAGTTGAGCAAAGATAATAAAATATATTACTCGTCAGAAAATGAAATATATCGTTCTGCAAATATAAAATTTTTACGCTCCTAATCTCTTTCACAGGCAATATTAAATGGTTTCATGATAATCCTAATGTAAAAAAGAGAAATGCATGATAAAATTTCAATGAAAATTACCAATTGTTGTGCAGATCTCGGTGACAACACGTTTTTTGATACCTGAGGTTGTAAAGATTGCCCTGGCATAAGAATCGATAACGGAGGAATGGTTACAACATTCGACTGTGAGGAGCTGATTGGGTTTAATGGGATTGTGATCGGCGATGCTCCTAGTTGAGAACCTAATTTGTTACTTACAGGAGGAATATTACCCTGATGTTGTAACTGCTGCTGCTGCTTAACTGCCTGAACTCGAACTGCTGCTGCTTGAGATAGGGCTGATATGCGTTCTGTATGCATACGCTGTATCTCTTCCTTCGTATCCGGTTCTCGAAGCACTGCTTCAGCCATACTATAACATGTAAGAAAACAAAATCAATTATACTGGAAAGAGTTGAAAAAATCAAGATCAAAATCGTCCCTCTTTGAATCGACAGAATAATGTATTAAGAACTGAAAATACAAGTTCAAATATTTAATCAGCTCCTTGGCAATCAAATAAAATAAATGCAGTGTTGATTAAGACCAATAATGACAGAATGTTTTTAAAGATGACTAATAAAATCAAAACATTTGAGTACAGAACTAATCAACATGAGTCATACCCCATAATTTGTTGTTTTGTGAGTTCTGTAAGCTTTGTTTCTGCCTCTAATTTTCGATTAAAATCATCATCCCCACTGTCTTCATCATCACTGTAATCGAACTCTTTGGAAAGAAGAGTCTGAAATTAGCATATGCAGAAAACTGCAGCACTTTCAAGATAGCGAAACATTTCTTGTTAAATATATTATCTATTTCTTGAACAATATTCTAGCAAAAGATCCAAAAAAAAGCTTCAACACCCTTAAGTATGTCTTCTACATAAAAAAAAAAACTTCATTTTCTCTTCCTACAGCCAAATCATTTATGAAAATATATCGAATACTGCAATCATTTTAGACATGACAAAAATCGAAAATACTTTATGCCAACCTTAATGTTTCCTTGTCTTTTCGAATCTAATTCTCGACGTTCAGTAAGTTTATCATTGACCAACTTGCAAACTTTCTGTAACAAAGATGGATCCGAAGTAAAGATGCCACCAAGGTCCAAACCCATAGTTGTCAACATCTCAAGAGTTTCCCGTTCACTTAAACCACCTTCAACAATATCACCACTCGACTTAATTGAAGGTAAGGGTGGTGTTCTCGAACGAATATCCTTGAACTAATAATTTGAAAAATTTATTGGCAAAGTAATTTTACAATCTAGTAATTATACAACCTCTTTAATCATTTGACTCGGATTTTAACATTACGCCAATAGCTCATAAATTAAAAATGCAGCGCATTTTCGAAGTTGCACATTTCATGCAACAAATTTTTGGTAAGGCTACATAATTTCAATATTTCGCTTATTTCGTTTATTTTTACACAAACACAGACAGATGAAAAAGTACTTACTTCCATTTTTCGTTTTTCACTCCGACCAGGAATCCGATTATAAATTGAAAAATCTGCCTGATCACCTTTTACGCTTTTTTCTACAACCGCAACGTCAATTTCTGCAAAATTAATCTTACTAATCTTTGTCTTATATAATTTGTTACTTGAGTAATGCCTCATAGAAGATACTGATTTAAAAAAGCTTTACTCTTCAGCTGAAAAAAAGATGGCGCTAATGGAAATATGATGAAAATATAAATTTTGATTGCTCTAGTTTCTTCAAAAATGCATGATACTGAAGGAAATCAATTGAACAAAACAAAAGTAAAGACAAACCAAGTCCATGAATGTCCCGACAGAACTCCAGCCATGGTCTTAACCTCGCTGCCTCAAATATTTCGTGACTTTTCCATAGATTTAAAACTCGAACGATTTTTAGCTAAAAATTATAAAATCAGCAAAAACTAAATTTTTCAGCCAAAATAAGGGCTTCTTGAAAGAACTGCTTATAATGACCGGAAAAAATTGTTACGTTTAAATCAACTACAATTACATTACTCTGATAGTTTGGATCAATAACCTTATGTTGAAATTTTTAAAAATATTGAAAAATTACAGATAAAGTAATGCTTGAATTAAATTTAAAAAAAAATTTTTCCACTACCTTATCATCTGGTTTACAGTTCAAAACGTTCGAAAGAGTAGTTAACATATTTAGAGCAAAGCGTGGACCAAAAACATCTTTGTCTTTAAACTGATGTTTTGATTGCCGTATTATAGAATCAATGCAATATAACCCAGGTACCTTATATTCCGATTTACACTAAAACGAAGAAATACTAAAATAAAAACAATAACAACGAGTTCAAAAAGTAAAAACATTGGCATCTTTCATACAAAAAGAGAAAATGGAAAAAAGATTAAACTTTATCAAAACATTTATTTGCTTTTGACTTTTGTAGTTCCTAACTTTTAAAGATATATAAAGAGTACATTTTGTTATTTTATGATCAGATTTCCAGCCAAAGAAATAGATAGAAATTTGGCGAATTATGTCAGAAGCACTTATTAGTAAAATCTAAAACTTACTAATAAATGTACTTTACAGTAACAAAGAAGCGCTCAACATTATGACATGAATCTTTTGTCACTGGAAACTTCAAAAACAATTTTTTACCTTTGTTAAAAATTTTTCTACTCCAAATACGACGTGTTTGTAATACTTGATCGCTTTCATTGCTGCTTTGGTGATATCCACAATTTTTTTCTTACTAATCGGTGGCCGTAACTCATAGAGAGATACCAACTGGAAGGAAATCGAATATATGCAACTGCTTCTATCATTAAACAGATCTAACCATGCTTTACAGCATCAACAACGATTTGCCCATTCGTTATGTTTAGTAGAGTAATATATATAATTGCATTTCATTCTTTCAATTAAAAGGTCAAGTTGCATAGAGAAAACTTAAAGAGCATGATGATAGTTTAGTTGAAGCAACAACTGACTGTAAAGTTGGATCAAATTAATTGATACATAGAGTTATAGCTCTCGTAGAATTTTTGTGAAATAAAATCGAGTCTCGCGTGACAGCAAAATTTTGGCTTCACTCTTCAGAAGTTTTTGAAGAGTTAAACTAGCATTTGATGCTTAAAAAGAGAAAAACTAAGTAGAAAGCATTATAATTTGTGACACTTTATCTATGACACTGTAATTGATAACATGAGAAAATGGAATAGTCTTACCTCAGCGTTAAATGCTTTCACAACTTCCGTTTCCATCTCTGATCAATTTGACTTTTCAAAATGAGTCCCAATAATCATTTGAAAAGAACAATACTGTCTAATCTGGTCAATACAGACTGCATTTATACTTCAGGAACTAGTATTACTTTATTCTGGAATAATAGGCATATTTCCCTTTTGATACTTTTTTAGATGAAAACATAAAACATTCAGAAATTGACGACAACATCTAAAACATAAATATGTACAAATATGGATTATATTCTACACAATAAAATGAATGAGTTCTAAAACCAAAACAATTCGCCTTCTGAAGTATTTAAAAAATGAAAACATGTCATATTGACGATTTCGTCAGTATTTCACCAAACCATGAAATACAAACCATGTGTTTTTGAAATGACTTGGAGTGAATGTGAAATTTTTTGGATCAATGCTGAAACAATTCAAACGATTGAAAATGTTACCAGTTTTCAAAATTTTGATTTCAAACACCTTTGCATTATAGGTGTCTTTGCCTTTAACTAATTAATTCACTTTAATATATCATCAGATACAAGTTATTACTGTTATCTTTTATTTTGTCCATGTCACTAAAAAATTTCGGAACATTCAAAAAACTACAAAGTTTTGGTAGTTTGTAAAATTTTTTTGTTTTGCATCTCAAATGTAGCATTTGGAGTATATTGAAGTCAAAACATGCATTGAATCTGTAGCTAAGTTGCAAGATTCTTTTTCTTTGAGTATAATTTGCAAGCAGTGAATGTAAAACTTTCTGAAATGAAAGAGCAAAACACAGGTCAAAAAATTTCTCAGTGCAAAAATTCAGCTGATTATAAAAACAAATTCTATTTTTGTGGGATTCTTTCCAGTCAAATTAATTATTCCAATGGCAGCCATTATTCCCGTTTACATTAATATCAATGTATTTATGAACTTTATGCAAAATATGGCTCAAAAAAATTCACTTCAAAAGATACAGTTATGTATTGAAAAATAGTAACAAGTTTTGGCCCTCAAATTTTCACTCTATACTCACATAAATTTGCATAAATGTTTCATCAAAATCTTAGAAAAGCTATTCTACGTGTAATTTTTGAGTTAAGCAATAAATTTCTGGAATTTGTGAAGTAATCCAAAAGTAGTTAATTAGTGAAATACTTAATTTTTGATAATTTATTAATAATTTTATAATAATTCTGAAAGATAGACCACCACAATGATCTTATTTTATAGGTCACTGCCATATTTCTCACCTTGTCTTTTTAGAAGTTCAGTGTTAGTGTGTCATTTAGAGAGGTCAATGTGGGTCGTTTGAAATAGTTGTACAATGTCATTTGTGTCTTTTGTTTACAGATGCTTTGAACATGTATTACTCATTGTGCAATAATTTTCAATTTTTCAAATATTTTGCATGTAAGAGCAATTCAGATTTCAGCAGTGTTTCGATGGTAATAATCTGTGATCAATTCAGTGACAGTATAAAAATTGTAAATTTTTATTTTTGATAAATCCTCCTTGCGATATGTGGTCATTTTCGAATCATTGCGCGCAATATTTTGTATTTTCAGCAGGATATGGCCCAGAAAAGTTTGGTGGTTTTGTAGAAGGACTGGATATATCTGTTAAATGCTTTCATTTCTCATTTCCTTCATTTTACTTTGTAAGTTTTGATAAGGAATAATTATCATTATTTATTACTATTACATTATTCATTATTAGCATGTAATGTATGTTTGTAATCCGTGCTGTAATCGAAATTAATCTTTTATGATCAAAAAATGAGTTACACATGCTAATCTTTTTGCTTAGAAAGCATCAGCAGCTAATGATTCTGAACTTTTTATTCAGTCTTTCTCTACTTACTTTATGTTTCTTGAATAGAAAACCGAAAAAAGAGTAAATTTTGATTACATCATTGCTTATAGAGTTCTCTATATCATATTTGCACTGAATTAATTACAGTTGCTAGCAGAATATTGACAGGGTTCGGCTACAGAATTCGAGATAAGATATCATTGTCACATCCAAATCAACAAGGTATATATTATGTAATGCACAGTACTACTTTGAAATATTTAATAAGTTGAAAGCTCAGATTTTTCGGCAGAAAATCATTTTCAAAAAGTAATTATTGCATTCATTAGTAGTCTTTTTTATGACTTATAATTTGTTTAACTGTTATTATTTTGTACGATTCTTTTGTTTGTCAAAATACGATGTTATGATTGCTGCAGAAATTCAATGAAAACTTATTTCACGTATAACTTTAATGAGAATTACTGTGTATATTGAAAGACATAACTTATTGCTTCATAGTAATTAGTAATAGTAATGATTATAAAAAACTTATGACCATAGAAAGCAGTATAATTCTACAACAATAAATTATTGAAAATTAAGTTTGTACTGCAATTTGTTTGTTTACAAAGTAAGCATTTTCCAGACGACAGTACATCAAGCCTACCTGATGGCATTTTCCATTATAGCAATAAAGAAATGGAATCAGATGCTAACTTTAATCTGCCACACTTTTATGGAAGTCAAGTAATGCTTATATCTTGTTTATATCAGCTGTTCATCATTATCAGCTTCATGAATAGTAATTATCCAATTTTTTCTAATTTTTACTACTTTTACAATAAATTATAGACTCATTACCACTGCCTAGTATTCTTATTACTCAGTTTTTGGATTAATATCTTAAACATAACTTTTTAGTTAATTTAAAAGTTCAAGTTAATTTTCAAACGATTGATCTCGTCATATTATGAAAGTTTATTTTGATATTTTTAAATTCAAAATTTAAAATTAATGTAATTTAGGAGGAAATCAATCCTATGACTATTGCTAATGAATTACTGAATGCAATTTCAAGTGCTAAGCAAAAAAACGAAGAATTAACAGGAATCAGCCTACCAATGCCATTTGGTATGAAACCTTTGCGAGTTAAAGTAAGTTAAACTTCAAAGATCAAGCAGTTATTTTCGTTGAATATTTGAAAATTTTTTCTATTTAAACTGCTTCTAAGCTTTCTGAAACGTGTTTTTTGCTCTGGCAATTATTCTATTAAATTTATTCATCTTGACTTTTAAAAATTGTTGTTTGATATGCAGGAATTACTAATCTGTAACATTTGAAATTTGCCTCTAGAATATTAAATAATAGTACGTACAAGTAGTCTTAAATTATTCCTCTTTTAGCTTGCAAATAGCAGGAAAAAGGCATTTCGAATGGGAAAGCAATTTGAAGAAGAGTTAGAAGTGTCATCTGAATCGCCCAAATCATCATCGAACATACCTCTCAAATTAGACCGAGCAAGCTGGAAAGCGCTTAAGAATGCTCGACTCGCGTGTCTTCAGGATGATCAAAATGCTTGTGACCAGGTTTATTCTTTCCTCGAATTTTGATTTAATATGAACTAATTTTTGAGCAATATTTTTACCTCAAAATTCATTTTCATATAATGTGGCGATTAAAGAACATATTCGAATCTAGATATCAGTTTCGGCATAAAAATTAAACGATTCATTTTTTGAAGTTATTTGAAAACTGATTCTGAACAGTTGAGAAATCCTTTCATGTCTCAGTGAATAACATAAGCTGACTTGTCTAACTTGCCTATTAGATCATTTATTTAAGATTTGTCTCATTTCTAAATTTCGAGAAGTGAAATTTTTTAAAAAAATGAAAATTTCGGCTCTTTTAGTAATATACTTTGGCAACACTTTTATAGTTCTATATTCGTGTTAAATTACAAAATTAAATCTATTTAGGCTCTTGAAAAGTATCATCAATTACGCTTCAACACTTCCCCCGTAACTCGAAGTCGTGAAATGCGAGCTATATTGTTAAAACACCCTGAAAGTTTCATATTGAACAGTTTTTTGAAATGGATCATGCCTAATTTAAAATCACTAAACTGATATTTATAATCAATTTCATGATTTTAACACTTTACAACAAATAATTATTTCAAAAAAGTAGACTATTCTGGTGCTAAACACACCAAAGGACTGCGAATGTCACCGAGTATTTGATGACTATAATCTTCTTCTAAGCCAAGTACCTCTCTCATATCTTGCATTTACACCTACAGCACGCGGTATTATCAATCCTTAGGTCTGCTCTCAAATCATCATTTTCAATAATTTCGACACCTTTCACATCTGATGCATTTTCATAACAAATAATTCAGATTCATTAATAATAAATATGCCTGTCATTCTCTCCTGCTCATACTTCATCATGAATTATGAACAGAAGAGAGAGTTGTCTACTTGTCTACATCACTAAACCACTCAGTACTGAGTGTTACATAGCAAATTGTGAATATAATCTCAATACAATTTGCTACATGGCGTGTGGTGGAAAGATGACGTAAGGAGCGACTCACGGACACGTGTTGTCCATATCTGTCTCCTGGGAAGGTCTGAGATAAGGTCTACCTACTTGGGTAGGTTACCCTCTAGCAGGGGGATGGTGTAATACGCCATGGTGTTGTACTAGAAACGATTCATCGACATACTCGCCCTGAAGTACAAGAAGGCTACTCTTCACGTAATACGTTATGTGCAGAAGTCTGATACGATTGTGGTGAAGATGTCGAATTTAAACTACAGCACTGGCCAGCTGTGCTTAGTGAGATCGTTGACTGTTTAACTCAATTCAGACTACTCTTCCGCCACACTCACATTTTCTTCACACACTGTGTTCCTATGCAGTTTCAAAATTATTATGTCTACCTAGCATTGATACCACTTGCTCCACTAAACGATACGTCAAAGTTAGAGTCCGAATTGTTTAGATGCAAGGGTTTGACACACTCACTGAGCATGTTAGACCCATCTAGGAAAGTACTAAAATCACAAATTGAACTTGGTAACAACTCTACTCTTTACTTCATATAACCTGTTTTCATCAAGTTTGGTGAACAAATTGATGAACTCAGTGTACAGGAACAGAACACATGAACACTCCACATGTCCATGCAGTAGTTCATCTGATTCATTTTGTAACATTCGTATTGTTAAAAATAATTCATAATCGGACTAGGTTGTGAAAATTATTCACTAACATATGCACTTCATACACATTACATGCTTAAACTAAATTATTAATATACTGATTCTTAGCACAGTAAATAAATGACTTGACATTAGCAAACAATAGCAATTCTGCAAAAATAGTTTTTCACAAACTAAAAAGTTAGAATACAATAATGAAGTTTGGTTTCATATTGCAAATTAATAAATCAAAGAGAAATAGAATCAAAGATAGGAGAATTTATCTACATTTTAAGCAGGAATCGTGCAGGACAATGATATCGGCTGTAACAACGCTAATACGTTGATAAGAGTTTAAAAATATGATGAGTAATAGAATGCAGAGATCGTGACAGGTATTTACATTTTCAAACGTGAATCAGCTTGTATACTTGAATGAAAAAAACCTCGCTAGAAGTAAGGTGCCCAGTAATGCTGTTGTTACTTTGATGGATACGAAATACAATATCAAAGCAATAAGAAATGATAATTCTATAATGGAAAAACCTTTTTAAGTCATTATGACTGCATTACGTTAATAATTTTCACGAAAAAGTATTGAGTTGGGGAATACTGCGCTATTCCATCCACTTTAAAAGCCTTACTAATAACTTCTGTTATTGGTGTCGTCATAAAATTTGTTTGCATCAAGTAATTCAATAAACAATCAAGAAATTAATTCTGCAGAATGCATGATGACAAAGATTGAACATTCAAAATCAAGAAAAAAATGCTAATATTACAATGAACGAAGACGATAAAGAGAAACTAATTTAATGAATTTTTATTTATGGCCAGAAGACAGTTTATAAAATCAAGTGTAAGTAATCCAGCCCGAGATTCAAATTAATTGGCTGGTTGAAGGTTTATTTCTGTATTAAGAATCAACATGTTTCATTTACATTCTTCAGTGTCGCCAACAGATCATCACTAATATCACCGGAATCATATGAAGAGTGGATGGAAATTTTACGCACCATGTCCTGTACGTTTGTAGTGGGAACTAAAATAAATAATAATGCAGTAATAAAATAACCGTAAACAGATAACTGAAGAAGTAAAGTAATAAATAATATAAATATTGCTCACAGTAAACTGTGTGTCGACAAATTATTAGTAACTCATGATACAGTCTGCAAAAAATAACTTTTTCAAGTTCATAACACATCTCCTAAAAATTTTTTTTGGATGCTAACAATGATGAAGGCGAACACTAACAATGCCCTAGAATACACAGAATAAATTAGAATATGATAAAATGTTTTCCCAACTGTTTAGCATTGCGAAGATGTAAACTTTGATTCACAAAGTCAAAAGGAAAACTTACCATAACCTCGTCCTTGCAAAAACAGAATTATTGCTTGAGCCACACCTTCCGGTTTATCATCCAAAACAAGTCCACCTGATCCTGACAGCTGCAATAATCACGTTGCACACAGCACTTGAAAAACAATCAAAAACAACTGACTGAAAAATGTGAGTAACTGAAGTACTAACAAATATCTTCAACTTTTTTATTCTGAAATAAACATTTATTATTACCTTCTGAACGATATAAGAAACATTTCTCAGCGATATAAGAAACATTTTTATGGGATGGTTTATAATCTTTATCATCACTTAGAAATATCAAATGTATTCTTAAGTGATGATAAAGATTATAAACCATCCCATAAAAATACATTCCATACTCTGCTGCATGAGTATCCAATGCAGAATAATTCTAAGAATATATAACTTATCAATTCTAATTGAAATCATACAAATGAAAAAAGTGAAATACACAAATTATAAAAGTACAACCTTGAGCCATTCTGAATCTGCCGGATTCAAGCGAGTATTTACTTCTACCGAATCATCCACAAATGCTGAGTCACCACCAACAATTTGCAAGACTGGTACATTCAACTTTGGCCCCACCGTTCCATCGCGTGAAAACACAATAGATGTTCGGCTGGAAAACATGCTTTCTACTGATGCCTTGCAAAAAAGTAAGTAATGGTACAAGAGGTGAAATATAGTCTAATGTACTATTATTCTAAACATACTTCAAATAACTTTCAATAAATGCTGCCAAATTCTGTGGATTTGGTAAATGTTGAAAATATGATCGGTAGCGGCGAACAGTATCTAATGGACTTTGCACGATGTGGTTTCCAAAATGATGCCACAATAAATAATCTACGGTGAAATTCGTCATTCCACGAGTTCTTAGAGACCGCATATTTATCTTCAATAATAAAAACTTTCATTAATTTCAATAATTTATAATATATAAGAGCATATACACTACTAAATATTACAGACCTGTTGATAGAACCATTCAATCCAACCTGCAGTTGTGGCCACACAGTTGACTAATATTAATGCATCAACCTTCACCTGGTTCTGAAGCTGAAAAATTTGTCCAACTGAAAATGCTTGCTTAATGCAACTTTGCAGATCAATCAATCCTTCAAAGTTACTATAAAAATTATTAACAGTAATGAATAATGTTTTACTATAAATATTTAAAGTTGGAACTAGAAGAAAATTTTGGACAAGTTTCAAATATAATTACTAAAATTTAATTTTTTATTAAACAACAATAAACTATGATGACATTACAAGAAAAAAAAGATCTTGATATGCATCACAGAAAAATTGCATTACTATGAATAAAACTAACTGCGTAACGTAACATGACGTTAGCACCCACACCCACTCCTAAGCCAATGAATTCTGCAAGTCTGAAAATGAGGAGCTCACAAGAGTGGAATATAATATCCTGAAAATCAATGTGACACTGCCATTTGTACAATTTTCACGACACTTTTGCGTACATTTATTAGAAATTGATGACCCCAATGTATTCAGTACGATCAGCAACTACACTCACCTGAAATGCTCAACGCAGTTTTCCACAATTTGAGCAAGACCATCCATTGTTGGATAGATGTAACTAAAAAAATTTTTTTTTTTGCATAATAACAGCTGATGAATTCAATTTCTGCTGTGAATAATGATTTCTTTTTTGATAGTTAGTCACAACTTAATAAGTTCGAAGAAATAGAGAATACATTTCAAAGAGTGTGAAAATTTCATTTCATATATAAAAAAATTGTAAAGTTAAATACTTTCCACTCTTGGGAATATAATTTAATCAAAGTAAAGAACTAAATATTTTTGATATATGACTGATTGTGCAAGCATATGAAAACAGAAAGCGATTTGCATAAATTTTAATAAACTGTTAGTAAGTTTTGCTTTCTGAACACAATAATACGATGAACTATTCATATAAATCCTCACACTAAGAGGGCGATATTTGGACTTACTTTTCGGAGAGCGGCAACGCATCTACCTCTTGACCAGGAGCATTGATATTATAAACACAAAAGTTTGACAAGAATTCACCGGCTGTTGCATACTGGAAAAAATTTTGAAAATTCGTTTCAGCTGAAAATAAAAAAATCCATTACAAACTTATTAATCAGTGAAAAAAACCAAAAAGGTCAAAGTGCATGGTACATTCATAATAACTGACAAAAGGTCAAACATTTTCGATAAACTTTGAGGTAAGATAAGTCTAAAAAAGGCACTAATTTACTAACAATAGAGAATATAAGTATATAATTCAGATTATATTTTTTTGCTATCTACAATTATTTTGTTAACTTTGATTGACAAAAAATATTTACAATCAAGTCCCATATCGTGGAAAGTGACGATTGGACTCAATTTGCGATTTCCATAAATGGTAACTTTGACATTTCCATACAAAGTTGACACCTTTTCCTTAAAATTTACAGAATTTTCGAAATAAAGAAAGTGTAAAAGTAATCATAAAAACACCTGTCCATGTCATAATAATGACACAACAACCATTTTTCATTATTCGCTAAAAAAACGCTAACAGCATTTTCAATATATAAATAAAATATGAGGTTAAAGTTCACAAATTTTTACACAGAAATAAAGACTAAAAAAATGATAAAAATGGAAAAATGCTCTAAAAAACTGCTCGATGCATTACCATTCTGAATGAAACGTTTAATCCAGCAGAACCAATTTCTTCCATTCCGTTAATTACAAGTGTTTGCTCGTTGTTATTTAGACTTTCTTAGTTTTATTTGCAAAAATTTTTTCACTTGCGAAGAAAATCAATCAATCAATCAATGTGTTACAATTGAAAATTAAGACAGAGAGAGAACAAACTTCAAAATCAGGTGGATGCTCCGACATCAATGGCAAATCATCCTGAAAATATGCCCCCATTTCTGCCACTGAACACATTGCACTTTTGATCAACAAAGCTTTCACACTGAAATTCAATAAATCAATAGCATTATTATTATTATTAGTATTATTAGTATTATCATTGTTATTATTATTACTATTATTATCATTATTATTATAATATTATTACTATTATTAAGATTGGTATCGTTATTATTGTTACTATTGTCATCATCATTAGTACTGAACATTAAAATATTTTTTATTAATGGTATGCTAGTCATATGAATCATTATGATCGTTGTTTCAATATTGAATTGGTGAATATATGACTCTCGTTACAGCACTACTAGTATGAAACACTATTATTATTATCACCTTAATTATCACTATCGTCATTACAATTATTTTTACTATCAATAATGTTGTTTCCGTCTCACCTTAATTTAATAACAACCAACGCAGATTCAAAGGTTACGTGTGCACTACTTGTAACAAAACGAAAGTAAAAATAACTTTGAAAACAACTGTTTGTGCATGCTTATATTTAGTCATATTAGTGTTCATTTTAAATGAAGAAAAATTTTTGCATCATTTATTTTCATTACTGTTTAATGAAATCAACATTTGCATTAGACAAAAAATTCAAAAATCATACTTTATAAATTTTTTAAACTAATCGTACAAACTTTTTATTAATGCATTAAATAATCAATTATTTTTTTTACCTTTTCAATATGCAAATTTACTATAATAGCTTAATAGCATTTTTTTCAACTTTCAAGCTGATTGTTACTCAGTGATAGGTATGCATTTTATTTCTGATAATGAAGTAACAAGTAAAATAATTATTTTATAATAAATTTAATATCACAATGACAAATTATATCTCCAACGTAAGAGTGATTAGTGACTTGAGTGACTCAGCCATGTGATAATAAGCAGTACAAACTGATAATCCAATTCTAGTATATTTTAGTTTATTTATTTCAGAGCGACCGATGTATAGAAAAAAAAATGACACAACTGAATAAAGACGGAATAAATAATAATAATCTGATTAGAAAGTAAAAGTTGTAATTAAATGTAGAATAATACAGTAACAATAGATCATATAAAATTTTTAATGTTGTGATGATACAACTGAAGTAAGTAAAATGACTGAGGAAAAAAAAATAACGCAACATAATTTCAACAAGTATGAGAAATAGCATGCCGAAAATGAGGTATTAAAGATTGATAAGATTTTCAAAAAAGTCCACATAAATAATTGAGGGTGTGATTTATACAAAAGAAATGAAAAAATCAGAAAAATTTACATAATAACAATAATAATAATAACTGCATACTGTTAATCATTTTATGGAATAATAATTTCTTGAAAAGATTTTTACAGCTAACAAAATGATAATCATTTGAGGCAAAAAAAAGATTGCATTATATATAGAGACAGTACAGATTGAGAGTGCAAAGGTAATATAAGTAGATGGAATGAAAAAATTAGCAACAGAAGACATTGAAGATTGAAAAAACTGAAACTTAAAGTGTATAATTTTTATGAATCTGAGAAGGAATTTGCATCTCCCATATCAGCTCCCTTATGAGATATGCTAGCTAGATAGTTTGAAATCCTAGTCTTAGCTTATGTTTCGATTAGCGCAACAAAGATTTATCTGAGTGTGTTGCAAAAGTACTTATTAACTCGTTTAATATCTAAAATATACATACATAAAGTAGAATAGAAAGTGAGCAAATTTAAGAAAAGGAAAAGTCAAAAATATTAAATTGCCGAAGAAAATTTCGTTGATGAGTGCTTATAAGAAAGAACCTGTCGCTTTCAAGCAAACTAACTCCCTTCCCTTCCTTCCATCCTTCCTACCCTCGCCACATCGATTTCTTGCCTCAGGGCATAACTCCCGGGACTACACCTATTCGAGATCACACCATCGTCACTCAATAAGCTTCTCTGTCCAATTCATCTCAGCTTAGCGCTGCTGCTAACCTTTCCTTCGTGTCAGCTTTATATTTTCCCTTTTGCAAATTTATACTTCTTAAATTTTGCTAAAAATTGCACAGCTTTAATATTAATCTATAATTATTGATAAGTTTATCAAAAAAAAACAACAACAACAAAAATCAATCATACTTTGAGATTTTCATTGAATTTAGTTAACTTTTTGTAATTAAAAATTTTCACTAAAATTTGCTTAACTTTAATAAATCTTTGATATGGTTACAAATTTTTATATATGAAATGGAATAAAACAGAAAATTTGTAAAAGAATGACCGATTCTGAAACTTCCTAATGGTCTCAGTTGGATTGATTCATACGACTAAGTAAGAAACAACACATAAGAATTATTACTACTTGGAGTAAATTTGCTTATACAAAAATTTTACTTAAAAAATATGAGGATAAATATGTCTAATAATTTATACTGTTGAAATTACAAAATTCTCAAAATGAATAATTTTTACTTTTATTATTCAAAATGTGCAATATTTATCGAGTATTCATTCATTCACTTGGAAATTTTACTTGTGTTTTAAGCTAATGCAGAAATTAATCCTATATATTCATACTTATTTTATCACTTTTTCACTAAACCAACTAGCATTTACAATTTAAAAAATGTATTATTAATAAATAATATTGAATGAGAATTTGTTTGACAGTTTGGACGACAATTCATTCCTTTGTTGACGTGAAAAGAAAAATTGAGAAGTAAGAAAGTGTTGAAGAAAATGCCATTTACTTTAATAGTAAAGATATATATATATATATAAAATATGTAAAAAAATAGCTGAAAATGACAAAAAATAGTTTAAATTGGAAAGAATCCGTGTTTATTGCGTGGAATAAAAAGTCACTAATTTATTGTTATTTCCAGTGATTTGCTTTTTTATTTTGATATTACTTAAAGTAATAAAAAAAATTTTTTCGATTTTTTTTAACTTTTTTTAATAATTTTTTTTAACTTTTTTATGACAAATTGCTTAAAAATGGAAATGGCAAGAGTATCAATAAATCATTCAATTTTTTTTTTACACAAATCAAGTATTTACCAAAGGTTATAGCACAAAATGATACCATTAATATTCAATACAAATAGCGTTCAACACTGGTATAATGAATACTGAAAGTAAAACGTTGATAATAAATACACAATTTATAGAGTAAAATAAGAAATATTATTAAATTATTTGATTTGTTATTACAGTTATGTAATTAATTAATTTAATTACATTTGTGTAATTACACTTAAATAATCTGAGATTCATGTTTTAAAGTATTTTCAAATTTTCAAATAATATTTATTCAAATTAGCATAATATTTTGTCACTAAAATTTAAAAATAAGAATTAAGAAATCATTTAAAAAGTAAATTATTTTGTTTGTACTTACAAATTATGCAAGTTAAACTTATTACGAAGACTACAATTACTTAAACTCATTGATATTTTTATAATCAATTTTATTTAATTATGACAAAGTATTTTTAAGTTTTGTGTTTTTGAAAAATGAAGAAAAGAAAATTAGGTGAAAGGTTAAAAAAGCATAAAACTATTTCTCAAAAACAAATAGCCCGAATAATACTTCATGCCATAAACTTGTAATGACAAAATTTGTTAATTACAAATTAGTTCATAAATAAATTTTACAGCAAAGTAATCAATTTTATATTTTTCTACGAATCATTTTTTTCAGCCGATTCTTTTTTGCAAACTTTTGCTACTAACAAAATATAGTAATTAATAAGTCGATTTATTAATATTTGCATTTTAATATTCACTTTATATTTGTTATTACAATAATTAAAGTTTTTTAATATTAATCTCGCATGCATTCTATTAATATTCCCCACCTTATGGATGCTATGCAATGTTTATTTCATGTCAGAATGATCATTTTCAGCGCAAAAATATCACAGTTATTTTCTTATTTTTAATTATTAGAGTTTTAGAAGCCTTTTGCATTCTCAGTTGCAAATTATAAGTTATATTTATATTTTCAAATAGTCCAGTCTTAAAATTAAAGGAAGTGAGCATATTATGCTAAACATAAATAATAATAATTTTTTCAAAATTTTCTTTTCATTTTTGATGAAAAATTATTTTCTCTGAAATTGTGCCATTTTTTATTTGCACAAAAAATTTTGCCCTCTCTCAAAGCATATAGTACAAACAGGATTCTCAGTAGTCAGCAACATAAATTCACTATGCAAATAAATGATTCCTGTATTTACTACTCGTTGAGTGCTTGCTATTAGAAATTGTCCTTTGGATACAAGCATTCATTCATTATATTTGAGTGAGAAATGGGAGGGTAAAGTGAAAATTCATCTCAAGTTTGTATGTTTTTTAATTATTTAAAAAAATTGTCAAAACAATTGAACTTTATAAAGTCAACTTACAGTCTTGACAGTAACTGCTTCTGTCAAGTTATAGTTTTATGTGGGTAATAATGAGATATTCTTTTAGCAAATAAAACTACTAAACTTGTTAAAAAATTATATTCTGAAATTTTTGGCAGGCAAAATTCGAGATATATTCAAGAAATATGAATTTTTATTAATATTTGAAATATAAAATATTAAAATTTAAAATGAACTAATTACAATGAAATGAAAATAATTAAACTTTGAGAGTTTTATGAAGTGGCTATAAATGGTTAAATAAAAGTTTAGTATAGTGAAAACTTTAGATTCTTATCTCAACAGAAATTACCAAAAAATGATTCTGAATGAATACAGTTTAATGCCATAAAAAATTGAATACTAATGGCAAATGTTTTTCTAATTTGAGTAGAAAACTAAAAATCAAAGTGAATAATTGCTAAAGTATTTGTAGTTAACGTTAACGTTTGAATACAGAATTAATGAATTTCAGCTTCAGGAAGCAGAAAAAACTGGAAAAGATGACACGATCTTGGGGCAAGTTTTGATTGAAGGTTTCAAAAACTACTAGTTACCATATTTTTGTGGTTTAAAAGAAGTAAGAAATTATACTTTGAAAATGTTTGATTTGGTTTTTTTTACAGAACAGGAAGTTCATGATATGTTCCAACAACATGACAAGGATATGAATGGTTTTATCAGTAAAGACGATGTATTGATGATGCTTCTTCAAGCTGATAAGGTCAGGATTAAGATAGTTTTATCAATAAACATAAAGAATCACGATTTCTTTACAACTAATTAGATCCATTCTACTACTTTTTGCTATAACTGAAGCTTATCTCGATTTTATTGAACTAAAATTGTAATTAATATTTACTGAGTGCATAAAATAAACAATTTTTAGAGCATAAATTAAAAAATAGCAGAGATCTGCTGTATATTTTTAGAATGAAAAAAAGGATCCAGTATTCAGGACAAATCTTAAATTTTTAATAAACAGTATCAAGTCTGCAGATAAAAATGGTGATGACATTATCACTTTTGAAGGTTTACTGCATTCAATTTTTATGTATAAACTATGTTCTCATTACTGTTCTTTTAGTTATCAGTCCAAAACATAATAATTCTAAGTCATATCAATTTTGTCTAAAATATATTGTTGACTTATTAAAAAGATTCTTAAGGTAATAATTCGAATAAATGTTTTCAGAAGCAATTCTATGAACTTAAAGAACCATATTGCAGCCCTTTTAATCTTTTACTTTATTTATTAGTTAATGCTACAAAATACTAATTAAATTTTAATTTTCAGAATTCAAAGATTATATTTGTCAAGTCACTTTATCTCCGCAGTGATTACAATTTTTGGTATTTATGATTGGCACTTTTACACTTTCTATTTATATTCCAATTATTTTACTTTCAAATTTGTAATTATATTTTGATTTTATAAATATGCGAGAAAAAATAATTTCAATATTTTATACTGTATCACTTGCATTACTTCAAAGAAATTTAAAATATTTGTAGCATAATTTAGAATGTGAAGCTTAAGTGAATGAGAAGTAATGCTGGTAACACACAGACACAAGCTAAAATCTTCAAAGCTAAAACAAAATTAATCACTGAGCAAAGTTAGCTAGTGGAAAGAGTAGCTGTGATCGTAAGAATTAAAATTGGTTGCGTTAAATTTTGGATTAAGTAAAAAAATCCTTTATCGATTACGCAAATGAATAAGTTAAACTGACAAATTGCCTTTTTTTTGTAATTTGTGTATAATGCGTAATTTTAAATTATACGCTAGTAATATATTTCAGATAGGGGAGTCAATTTGTATACAATCATGAACAAACTAATATTATCTCATAAGCGTGATCAATAACCAGGTGGTAACTGTGAAGTGGACAGTGGTCACAACTTCCTTTAGCTTCAACTTTTGCAACTGGTCCAGTGACACCTAGACTTCCCCATTTTCCCAGAGGGCATGAAAAGTATCAAGATTATCAAGATTTACATACCTATTTCTCCACGATATTCCTCTTCTTCCAAGTTTCCCTCGACTATCTAGTTCAGCTCTTTCTCCTGGATATCCTTTAGGACCTTTATCGCCAGGAAGATCGATTTCTCCGGGAGGTCTGGATAGACAGTCTGTGATACACAGTTTGAGAAAAAGAGGGTATTCAAGGTTTGAATATAAAATGTACGCAAATGATCATTTCATCATAGTTTGGTTCAAAAAATATTAAAATTTTAATAATTTGTAAAAAATAGTATTATATCTCGAATTCCATTAAAATAATTTTCTGTAAAAGCAAAATTTTTTCACAACTTAGAAGCTTCAAAGTTATGTGATTAGCGAGCAAGCAAGTGTGAAAAATTTGTGAATAATCCAAAAAGTACTTATTTGTTTTCAAAAATATTTTGAAAATTCTCATGTTTTTTGTTTGTTACTTTGTGTTTTGTTTAATTAAAAGTTAAAAACTTAATTGAATTAGTAAAATTTTGTAAAAAAATATTTAGCAAACCCTACTTTTTTGTATTATAATTTGAGCAAATTTCTTTTATTTTATTCATTTTTGCTTGTCTGCTTCATTTGATTGTACATTTCTACGAGCAGGCCTGAATTAGCAGCGTACTTGCATTCTGATTAATGCAATCTTTCTATTACGAAAATTGTGTTTGTGTCTGAGATGTTTTTGCTAGTACAACATTTCTATTATATTTTAATTGTGCTTGCTGACTAGTAAAAGCCAGAAATTATTTGGTACTTTATTGATTAGTACTTATTAATAAAACAATATTTTGTTTGTTTTGCAGTAATAGAGTAAATTTTTTGTCTTTTTGGTAGTAGAATGGGAATATTTTGCAGATACAATGATCATATTATTGAATAATTATTTTTTCAAATTTTTTATGGGTACAAACAAAATAGTGATGCATCACAGCATTGATGGAGGTCAAAGTTAAGAGGCAAATTTGCTCTGCGACTACAAAAATATTTTTTGAAACGGTTAGTTGTAATAAAAAAATTAGACTTCATTTAATTAAGTACTGTACTGTCGACAAAAAATTAAGCATTGTTTCATGTTTCTGAAGATGTAAATTTTTATAATTTGTTTAAATTCTTTATTTATCCAGTATTTAATTATTATTTCAGGATCAATTTTCTATCCAATAAATAGATTTTTAAATCAGTTAACCGACAAATCAATAGGATATCGATGCAGTTAAAGTTATCTTGAATTTTTTGACCAATTTGATTTTGAATAATTTTAGTAATTAATTATGGCAATTATTCATCTGCAAATTTTTTACAAAATCAGAAGAAATTATCTGAAAATAAGAATATAATTAGAAATGATTTTGGTTAAAATGTATAAAAAAATGCTTACGGCAGAATCTATTTTTAAAAGATTCCAACAGAAGTGAACAATTAAAAAATTAAATAGCAGAAAATATGCGAATGTGTTATTTTGTTCAAATATCAAAGGAAGACTTAAACGCACAAATAAGCATTCAAACGTAGCAAATAACGGAAAACAAACCATTTTCTATTTTGAAAGTAAATAAAAATAAAATTTAAAAAACTAATAAAAACTTAGAAGATAGCAAATGAAAAATCAAAGAAATAACAATTTTTTAGTGTTTGCAACAAAAAGTTTACATTTAATACAATTTTATTAAAAAATAATAATTAAAAAAAATTAAATTTTATTTCATACGATTTTTGATTGTCAAAAGCAATAAATTCAGGCTGTTAAGTCTAGAAGATAGCAATTTGCCAAAAATCTCAAATTATTTTACAGCGCAATTTATTGTGAATTTATGAGATTAGTAATTGTAGCACAGACTAGATGAAAGCAATTTGCCAAGGATCTTAACATTGATAGTAAATTCTTGAAATAAAAATAATAAATCTTTTTGAAAGCAAAATTAGCAATATTTGAATATTGGAAATAAAATGCCATACTTTTATCACTTTGTAATAATATCAAGCCTTATTTTGTACCAGCTAATATTTACACAGATATAATTGAAAAAAAATATCGCAACGATGCATTCAAACACATGCAAACATTTATTAGTAATTTTTAAGAATGATATTCACACGTCAAGTCTATTTTTGCATTATATTTGTACAGATGATTAAGAATAAAAAGTCAAAACAGATGTTTGATTTCCACGTATCATCAGAACAGGGGGCAAATTCCTAGTCATCAGATCGAGCCATGCCATGTATAAGTAAGTGTTGATTTCTAGCCGTGGAATTGGTAGTGTTCTGAAAGACAAATTCTTTTTAGGATATGAGACTTGATAGAGGATATCCCTGTCTCATTTATTTATTATATGTAATTTAGTAAAATAATCATGAAAATTTTTCGATTTGTTAGCTTTAAAAAATTCACAACTTTTGAATTTAATAGTAACAGATCTTATTTATTCAGAATAAGACTCTTTACTTTTGTTATATTTTTGTTTAAAATAAATTATTTTACATTGAAAAATGAGCAAAATTAAATTATAAATCAAAAATGCAATTAAATTTAGTCATTTTTTACCAACAAGATGCCAAAAAATTTTCAGTCTTAAGTTATTCTACCAATTTTAACTTTAATTCTACGTACTGGAATAAAAGATTACATAACAATAAGATTAGCATAAGATGAATGGAGTTGTAAAAGTTCTCTGATACGTAAATGTTTATGTGTACGCTTTATTTGCGCTACTAAATCTGCGTTGGATATTAAACCGAGACTTGCTTTATCTTCTGTCATCCGCATTGGAGCTATGATAGCTTCGAATTCACGTAATCTGCAATGTCATCCAGCTTGAAAACAGATATAGAAACCAAGAAACAAATTTAAATTTATTTGGAAAGTAAAATAAGCTTACGTAGAATCACTTGGCTTTTGCGTAATATCAGCAATCACGCATACATCAGTAAATGGAATTCGAAATTTGCTTAATAAAGCAGCCATTTTTTTAGCAGCTGTCTGACAACATGCGTATGAACTTGCTAAGGTAAACACTCGAAGTTCTGCATTCTGAGAAACAACAAACTTAGTAAAAATTAATTTTCTAAAGAAAGGAATTATAAATTGAATGATTCAGACTAGGAAAAATTAATTACATTTGAGGTGAAAAGGTCAAGAAAACAAATGAGACTTTCAAAGAGTGACATTTAATTCAGCAACTTAAAAAAAGTCATTTTCAGATAAAATAAACTTTATCAAAAATAATTGAATGCGTTAAAAACTATTACAATTTGTTATGCAAATCATGAGATGGGACTTGTGATGAGATCAAATATAACCTCAAGATAACTTTTAGGTAATCGTAAAAGATGTGGAACAAGTAAGGTCAATCCCCCATCATCATACAGCCACCAGACATCGATTCGACCTTTTTTAATTCGTAAATGAAACTTAAGCATATCATGGGTCAACTCTACTTGCTGTTTCGTTGAATCGGAAGATCTGCAACCATCACATACAAATAAATGTATGCAGTAAATTGCTACTAAACTTGCCTAAATTGTTTATCAATTGAATTATTTAGTGAATACATAAACTACAACATTACAACAACTAAATGCATACACACTAGCAATTGTCTTTATCATATTTTTTACAAATTATGAATTTAGTATTCAAGAGATAAATGAGAGTAATTTAATTATTCAAATTGAAGTAACGATAATTGGGGTGTAAATGATATTATTCAAAATTGAATGTAAAAATCAAAGTTTGAAAGTTCAATTAGATGTTAAGAATCAACTTATAATCGTTAAAGATATACAGATCCTAGGATTACAAAAGCAGAGCATACGCCAAAACAAGTTTATGTCGTGACGTGCCTTGTTATCATCGAGATAGTTACTTTTTCAAAACTGTTTACACTACTTTTAATTTTATGATTATTGCTAAGAGAATAAGTAAATAAATAAATAAGTAAACAAATAACAAATACTGCTATGAGCTTGCTAACTTTTGTTGTAAATTTTGCTTCAACTCATTATTACTGCTTGACTGTTTACTTTCAGAAAAGAATAAACGATCCACAAAAAAAACACTTTTCTTCCACTTAGTACTATCTGAAAGAATTTTTTCTACCAAAAAAGCATTTGTCAAACAAGCAAATTATTATCAGTGATACTTGTAAGCTAGCTCTTTGCTGTGAAAAAGGATAAATGTAGCGATGACAAAGTGATGCTAACTTTTAGCTTATCAGTAAATCTTTTCGTAAATACAATAGAAATATATCAAAGCAGATTAATTTGGATAAAAACTATTTTTTATAAAGTTTAAAGATAAAAAAATTTGCTGAGGAAGTTAAGCCAAAATGTTATATTGTAAGTGGAAAAAGTTTCACCAATAACTTTAATTAGTTAAATAAAATTTATAGTTTCAAATAGCATTTAATTAATTACTTTATAGTGTGCATGATTTTTTAGGAAATAAAAGACATGACCTGGAAGAGCATTTATTCTGGTAACTGAGTCAGAATATATCTCATGACCACTTAAATTTAATAACTGTCCTGAATGGACATGTAGTTGTTTATCTTCATTCGATAAACAGTTATGTTGACTAGAACTGTGATCCAAATCATTTATGTCACTGAAAAAAAATATATTCTAGCATTTAGAACAGTATTTTGCATTTTTGATTTTTAAATTGTGAAAATATTTCGATTATTTAATTGCTGTATTTTGATTAGTACACAAAAAAATAAGATTTGCATGAAATTAATAATCTTTTAACTAATACTTATCTATATGGTTATACATTTTAATTAAATTGCAAAGTATTATTTTTCTTCTGTGTTCATCAAAGTAATACTGTTTTTACAATCTATTAAGTTTAATATTGGCATAAGTAAACAGATTGAATTTCCGTTTACTTTTGCTTTAATCTGAAGCCGTTTCCAGATGCACTAACCTTTAATAATAATATTTTATTAAATTATTATCAGTAATGAATTAAATTCTAACAAATTAAATATTTGCATCAATCGACAAATGAGTTCAAACTGAATCAACAAATGACCTGTTTGAAGAATGATTTTGTTGGGAATTGTGGTTAAATATGTTTAGTGCCAAAATGTCGCTGCTGTCCAGATTCAGAAGTCTCTCACTGATATCAAAACCACTGCCATCATTGCGTAAAATACCAACTCCAAAGTTATTCTCCAGTGCATCTCTGATATTATATTTTCAATTAAAATTAGAAACTAAAACTGTTTTTAAAATAGTAAACTATATTTTTTTAAGTTAAATGATTTTGAGAAATAATTCTGAGGGAAATCTGATGCAGTCATCAACTGCTATAAGTAATAAACAAAAAATGCATTTTCTAGACCTAAAATAAATTTGTTTTCTTACGTGGGAAATAATTAAGCGTTATATAATAATCAAATATAGTGAGTAAATTATATTTAAATAATAGATTAATAAATGCTATTTGCAAAAGCTTGAACTGCTAATCTTTTTAATCATATTTATGCATAAAAATTACTTATAAAAATATTAATAATTTAAATTTAAATTTTGCTTTCTTAATGAAAATCTTTATTTTCTTTCACAATGTAAGGAAAATCAATTTGCTTATTATTATTATTATTATTATTATTATTATTATAGTAATACAATGTTTTTTAACTCACCATTATTTATAGTAATTTTAAAATTATCTTACCTAATGATGTCAACGTAGTCATCTGACTTCAATAATTCATCTGAAATGCTTTGAAACCAATTGTTTTTGAATCCCATCATTAAAATATTTGGACGTAATCTACCAATTCCAGCCATTTGCAAAAGATGTTGAGCACCAGAACGAAGACTTGGATCAGCGAAAGGTGAATAAAATGCTTTGAATTTGTTTTTAGATAACCATAATGTCATTTGTTTATACAATTGATGTACTATACAAAATGTTTGCCAGTTTGGTTCGTACTAAAAAATTAAAATTCACTATATAATTTAAGTTTTGATTTAAAAATTACTAGCAAATTTTAAACAAACAATTTTGTAAGTATACTTTTTTAAGTAAAAAATGTTTAATATAAGATAATTAATTATCAGTAAAATGTATGACGCTTTTTGTAATTAGCTGACTTGTACAACATGAGCTGCTATTAATAAGCTTTCGCCTTTTGTAATAGACACAGCGAAATCGAGCAAGGAGGGACGAGCTGCTGGATTACCAGTTAAAAGTAAAATCTGCGGCCGATAATTTTTCACGTGTTCAACGTCATTTGACATTTTTAGTAAATTACTAAGTATAATACGATAACGTACAGCAGATGTTGATGAACCCCAATTAACATCTATTAAACATAATTATAGCATGATGAATAGCTTGATTGATAAAAATTTTGAAATTATCAACAAATTAGCAAATTATTTTATTAATTATTACCTTTGATAATAAAATAATGATATAAAAAATACCTAGATGCTTTTTAGATAAGTAAAATAAAATCATGAGAAAGAATGCAAATATAAGCAAAGCAAATGTCCACGAGATAATGAACATAACTATTATGCATAAACCAGCTCCAGCTAATGATAGCCACATATTGTAATATCGAAAAGATGGCCGAAAACCTTAGATTTAAAAATTTCTTGTGAAATTATGATTATTACAGTAATTAGAAGTGATGATTTATTAAAATTATGGTAATTAGAAGATGATTTATTAACAAAAAGTATTGAGAAGTAAACCTGGTGCTTTAGCAAATGAAGCGTCAAAACAAGCATAATTAACGGATGCATATGCTGCTAGAAATAAATTTGATACAAAACCATTTATAACATTTAAGTCACCTAAAGTTATTGCAATTTATGGCATTTAATTCAGTCGATTTGAATTGGAGAAATGTAATGGAAATAAAAGTTATTTCAAATTCAAATTATTAATTATTATCTTTGTAAAAATTATAATAACATTTGGATCGTTAAGAGTTTTTAAATAGACTTTTTTGTTCGTTTTTACTTTTAAACGTGTAAGACTGATGCTGTGTTTCAAGCAATTTAATCGAATGTAATTTTTGTAGTAAATAAAGAAGAAATAAATACTGATGCTGGGAATGAGTAAATGACTTCTGTTATAAAATATTTTGGCGGTAAAAACAATAAGTAATTTATCGACAAACTTTGTCCGAAAGTTATATAATAATAAGTATGATGTAATAAATACTTGACAAAGTAATTTAAGTGATTTGCAGTATTTTTTTCTTTCATAAACTGAGATGAAAAGTAGTGACTTAATAAAGTCACAATTCATGTCTGATCATTTAAATGATTAACGAAGTATTAAAAATAATTATTAAGTAATGTTTTATAAATAATATAAAATTTACCAATTAATATGACACCCATAGTGAATATTGAAAAAAATAGATATGATCGCTGAGGCATTTGCAAATTAAAATGTTCTGAGAAATAGTTAAACAACGGAAACAACCGATCTTTGCACATTGCCTTAATTAATAACTTAAATTGAATACTGGAAGTTATTTTAGTTATTTTTTATTGACTCAATTTTAGTATTCGAAAGAAAAAATTGTATTTAATCTTGCGTAATTTGTAATGAAAGCATCTCAACTGAAAACTGCTCAAGAATGATTGTGATAAAAGTAGACTTTGTATGAATGAAATGTTTTATAACTTATTTTTACTTAACGTACGCTAAATATCGCAAAGAATTCGTCTCAAAATTTCATACAAATTATAAATATCCGTTAAAGTTATTAATTTTATGTTTGTAATCAATTTTGATTGTCATATCAGAGTAAGATATTACATATCTTCAGGTTCATTGGTTCTGCAAATGGAAAATGAATATTTTACCTGAAAAATCAGCGGTCCGTTATCTAAATTAGTCATTGTAGAGCTGAGGGACATAGCAAAAATACCTGCAATCAGTAACGGTCCCCAAGCAGATTCAAGCTTTGCTACCTGTTAAATGATATTATTTGATGTGCAAAACTTTTACTTCATTGATTTTCACTACTTGTAGATTAGATCAATCTGATAGATTAGTATCTAAATTTGCTAGTCTAATTTTGTCAGTGAATTTCTGTTTGTTCAAGAAAATAAGTCTCACTTGAAAGGAATTCATCAAACCATAATTGCACGTATGATTCGTTGCGCATGTAAATACTTTCCATTTTAACGTAACATTGTCAAAGAGTGGGATCGTATCCCCTGATACATCCCGAAGCATTGTGCACGCTGGAATCAGTACAGCAATTAAGTTGTATAGTACACAAACACCGATTGCCGTGAACATGCCCAGTGGTACATCACGTGCTTGATCCTGCAGTCGGAATCAGCCTGCTTCTTACTAACTTTTATTATGAACAAAAAGCTTTCAAGTATCAAGTTATCTACTGATGATCATTACTATTTTATCATTATTATCATTATTATTAGTAGTAGTATTAATCATTACTATCAATATTGTCGTTATTATTATTTAGTGGCAAGAAAATTAGCAGGAAAAATAGATCAAGTGTATACTCTGAGGTCACTGATAAACATTGAACCAGCCATAAGTCCAGTCATTCCAGGAAATAAAATCGCAAAAACAGAAATGAAGTTTTCATTTCTCCACGCAGGAAGCCAATTTTCAGATATTGTTGCCACTGAAATTGAAATTTATTTATTCATATTAATTCTTTAAGAAATTTTTAAAAAGCTTTTTAAAAGAAAATGCAAAAAATTTTAATCATAAAAAATCACAAAAATGGACAAAATTAGCATTTTTATTTGCATAAATTGTTTTTGCTATGATATGAAATGTTTGTAGTTTATCATACTGACTGTAATCATTAAAACAATAAATGAATATAAAAGTATTTAATTTTGTAATTTCCAACATAGAATTGGATTTTATTATAATTTTAGAGCATGGAAGTTATAACATTACTGACTGCTATAACCCGTCATTCCACGCAATTTTTGAGCATCACTTGGTGGCAAGATAGAACCAAGGCACCAGTCAATAAATGATAAATGATATAGAGAAAACATAAACAAGGTAGCACTCTGCTCGATATCAGGTCCAGCAAAAGTTATCAGCATCAGTATAATGCAAATCACTGAAATACGTAAAAAATTTTCACAAATCGTTATTATGTAAATTATATATTTTTTGGTATATTACCGTTTACTTACTATCTTTATTAATTCTATTTTTATTCAAAATTATAAATTTTTTAACTGACATTTACAACACTTTTTGCTTTATAATACTGCAAAATCCTGGTGGTACCATTTATTACCTGAATGGCTCTAATTTGAATTCAAGCAATATTTGCATGATGGATTACTTCTTTAATAGCAATGAAATTAAAATGAAAACTTGAAAAAGTACAGTAAGAAAGTGACCAATTCCAAAAAGACGGACATCGTTAATTTTAGTATTTGTTACAGTCTCATAACCGCTGTCATTCATCAAATCAGCTATTGTTTCTGCAGCACTAACAACATACAGCGATGCCATCATAGCATTTGCAATGGCGAAAATTGCTCCAATACTTCCACCAAATTCAGGCCCTAATGATCTGAAATTTATACAATCATTTTCGCTCAATTAATAATTAGATCAAATCAAATCATAATTACTATGATATCATTTAATTATTTCATTTACTATATCATTAAGAGTTACTGTAAGTATGAATCTATGATAGATTGATATTTTTTGGACTTTTGAGTTTTTTATTCGATTTTAAAAGTCAAAGTATATTTAAGCAAAGATTACCTTGAAATTACATAATACAAACCACCTTTCTGACTTTCACCATTTGAGCAAATTCCACTGATAGAAATAGCTGTGATGACGCATACAAGTGCAGATAATAAAACTATGCCAAAACCAGCTACTGTAAATTAATCAGATAAATTTGCATTTCTGATAACGACACGAAGACAACAATAGATATGATCGTAATTTAGCTTCAACTTATAAACAAGCATCGATTTTTTTAAAAATCAGATAGCTTATTTTTATTGCTAAAATTTTCGAGTGTACAAAACTCACAAAGTCCAGCTTGGCCAGCCACCCAACTGTTGCGTAAATACAGTAATGAGCCAACAATGTTAGTAAAAACAGGAATGAAAACACCCGGAAATAATATATGTGATAAGTAATGAAAATTTAGTCACAATATTAAAATAAATTCAAATCGATTAATTATGCAAATTTTAAGTGAAACCTTTCCTAACAATCTTTTTAGGTTATGATTTTTGAGAATATCTTAGAAAGTGAAGTAATTGTAAAAGTAAATTTCACACTTTTTTCAAAACAAATTTGTAAAAAAGCAAAAAGTCATATGTTCAAATTGAATTTTTCTTGCCACACTGATTCTTTCAAATTATTATTTGTCAAAACATAACTGACTTTTTCAATTCATCAAATCAAATAGTTTTAACAATTTACTTGTTTTATCAAGCAAAACTTCAAGAATTTACTTTGTTAGAAAATCAAAAATTGAAACTCGTAAAAAGCAATTGAAATTATTCAAAAAATAAATTAAAATGGTCCACAATATTTTTTTAGAAAAGTAAAAAATTCTTTGTACTCATAATGCCTCAAAATTAACTTAGCAACTTAGAAGTCCAAAAATCTATTTTAGATTTATACTTATAATAATTCGAACTTAGGTTTGTTTTTTTATCTCACAAAACTAACTAAAAATATTAAGTGATTGCCTGAAGTGTTGTGGTAGATGATGAATTGTATTCACTATAGGTTAAAAATTACTGTAATGGTATTGAGTACTCAAATTTTCGAACTTAGGTTTGTTTTTTTATCTCACAAAACTAACTAAAAATATTAAGTGATTGCCTGAAGTGTTGTGGTAGATGATGAATTGTATTCACTATAGGTTAAAAATTACTGTAATGGTATTGAGTACTCAAATTTTTAATCATTATTTCAAGTCTGTACCTGAAAAAAATCTATCTTTTTTTTTACAGTAAAAATTCTCAAACTGCTTAAATTGGATCCACGGCGATTGTTTGCTTTGTCTTCCGAATAATTATTGCTTTCAATTTCTAAAATTAAATTTTAATCTTAAATAAATCATTTGTTTAAGTATGAAAATGTAAGAATAAAATTCAATAAAATTTATAAATTTAAATAAATTTAACTTTCAACAATTTAATTTACTCTTATTTGTTAAGAGCAATTCAGATGATAAATATTTAATTTATTTTGTCTGAATTTATTCTTCATAGTTATCAAGCGTTTTGTACTAGACTTGTGATAATTTGCCGAGCTAAAATTACAGTAATGTGAAAGTCAGAAAGCTTTAAAGTTTTTAGTTTTTAAGCTTTTATTTGATGTTTTGAAACAAAATCTCAAAATCGAATTTGAAATGGAAACAGCAGTTTTTTACTACCTTCGCAAACTCCACGCATTAATACACGAATTGTTGGTTGAGAAGAAAGTTTAGGATTTCTTACAGATTTTAAAGTCCACAAGTAATTTTCAATTGCTGGAATTCGATCCAACGTCATTTGCACGTCATTTGGTCTTAAAAATTCACTTCATCCATCACATAAATTAGTAGTAAGAGAGTAGATTCAAGCATTTAAATCAATTTTGATTTCAAACTTTGATTGTCTATTCTGCGATACAAACTGATATTCAAATTTTAAGAAAAGTTCTTCATACATTTTGGGATGTATTTCATGTACGTGAACGTTATTTTTTTAACGTAGAGAATAGAACACTTAGCGTTTTTTTTCGAAAGGTAATGCTTTTTATGAATAATAAAAGTATATATATATTTTTTTAATAAGAAGTTAAAAAGATACTTTGTACTAAACTGTAATAAATTTCTAAATTATCTAACATAAATAATTTTAAAACCTTAAATAAGACGATGACGAGACTTTCCTTATTTGAGTATTGTCACCACAATCATTGTACAACGTAAAAGACACCTGCAATTCGTAGTATTCGACTTTACACATCTGAGACTTCTTCAAAATTAATATTCGAGCTAATTTAAATTTGTTAAAACTGCTTGTTTACAAAAAGAAAAATTATGTTGCCTGCTTGAGATTACAGTTATTAAAACTGTCTACTCATTATTAAAACTGTTATTATCGCTGCTATAATTTTAATTATTGCTATGGCTAACTTTACCCGTTTAGTTGACGAATGCATTTCATTATTAATTAAGTTTTCCTCAGGTTTCATGCTGATATTCTTAAGCAACTTTAAATTTGGAGCAGAACTGAAGCGAATATTTAAGCGATTATCCATTCTGATCAGATCATAATGATCTGGTACGGAAACTGTGCTACACTTATTTCTTTGCAAACTTTTCATCTCTACTTATTCAATATTCTCAATTTACGCTTTGCACCTGAAATATTATCCCACGTAAGTAATAATATTCAGAATTAAAGTGATTATTTAGCAAATATGTGAAATGAAATGTCTAAGTAATACTTCAAATATTCTCTTACAATCAAAAAGTTTGAAGCGTACATGACGATCTAACTCCATCGGTGCATTCAAATTAAGTACTTGGCACTTATTCAGAATTTTTTCTACTTACCGTAATTCACTTCAATGCCAAGTAAATCTTTAATTTGTTTTAAAATTGATTTAAATTAAATAGTTTTAACTTAGCTAATATATGACTGATATTAACCAATCATTACAAGTATTTTGCATCTTAGAATGAACACTTATCTGACAAGCTGAAATTTTCTGAGGATGAATTATTATTTACAAATCAAAATAATTTTTTCTGAAACAACCAAGCATCAGTTGAGTAATTTCGCTATAAATAAATACTTGCTAAAACTGAAATTTCTGAGGAAAAAAGTCATACGACGCTGTGATGAATTGATGGAAAGCGAAATTCGAATCAGTTTATTTTAGCAAAAACAATCACTAAAAATAATAAAAATTAGATGCGAAACTAAGTAAACAATCTTATCGTCCATAACTGGTTTTCTGTTTTCTTTTTTTGCAAACGAATAGTCATTTTCAAGCGCAAGCATTATCTTCTGGGATGGGATTTTTGTTAACATCAGCAAAGTTGGCTACTGATCTGATCAATAAAGTTTGATTTCAATTAAGTTTTGTTTGTTGTAGTTTTTGAATGGATGCAAAAAGGTATAAGTTATAGTGATAGTGATAGGATAGATTTGTTAAGTAATTAGCAAAGTGAATGTCAAAATGATCAGTTTGAAAAATTGAATCAGAGAAGTAGTAGTAGTACCATCTGCGAAGAATATTGGTTCGTTTCAATATTCATTACTTAAATGTAAACAACATTTCGCTTTATGGCTTCTAATGATTACTCTTCCTTCTAGCATCGAATTGCAAAAGCTAAAATCGTTAATTTGATTAAGGGAATCAAATTAACTAAATAACGATCATTTCAGTTTAGGGATTATTGTAGATAATAAATGGATGGATAAGCTTATCAGGGGATCATTTTATATCATGGCTATGGACTGATAAGCTGACCGAAATAACAGTAGCCTTAAATTGATATCCATTCATATGTCTGCCCTCATCACAAACAAAAAAAATGTTAATAAATGTAGAGTGTAGCAATTGAGAATGTGTAAAATTTTCGAAACAAATTTTATTCGCAAAAAGTTAGTCGCAAAAAATATATATGTTCCTTAAATCAGATATATTTTGTCATATTGAGCTAATTTAAAAGATGGAAATAGAAAAGGGTTAGATATATGGCAAATTTCAAGTATATTTTAAAAAGTTTTCAAATGCATTTAAAATTTTAATGTATTTTCACAGTAAAAATCTTAATGGCGGGAATTGTGAAGCTTAGCGAATTGTTTTCTTTGATAAATTTAGAAAAGTGTCAAATTCTAAGCAGTTTATGCTAATAATTCTAATTTTTGGAGTGTTTTAATGTATATTAATTGATATAAACTGATATGATTAATTGGGCAGATGATTACTAATTAACTCTAATTAAATTAACCATTAATCTCATGAACTTTCAAGAGACGTAATAACATAACTGATCACAAAATTCGTGTCATTAACCTTTCACTAATTAACAAATAATTTATGAATTGCAACACAAATTAGTCTTATTATTCATTCCATGCAAATATGCACAGCAGTAAAATGATGGATGAGCATTACTCAAAAGGTTAACGAACTTTTAATCAATAAAAAAAGCAGCAAAATTTTTGAGAAATAAAATTATTATTGTTGAAAGCAGTAATGAAATTTATTGTGCGGAATAACTACAGCCAAGGTTAATGGCGCCATTTAAGTAAAAAAATTCCGGGAAAAATGCACTGATTTTAGTTGTATAATTTTATTTATTTTTGATATCTTTTCACTGCTGACGTAATAACCACGTAAATAAATTAATTAACCCTAATATTGATAAAATTCATTTATTAATAGCAAATTACAAACTGTTTAGTGTCTTTGCATAGCTTTATTTAATAATCAATAAGTTTGCAAGAAAATTTGCTTTTGAATTTGAATCAGTCATTTTTGATTTGTGACAGGTGAAATAATATCGGGGATATGCTAAGAGCTTCTGATAGAAAATATCGGTCATTATTCTCATACTCTACGATAGATAGCAATAAAAATTTTATTGAGCGATCTTTCATTTACTGAGATATCACGAAGCGATAATCACTGACTCAGCGCGACTTAAGACTGCTCTGAAATGAGGTAATAAAATTTCACAACGAATAAGCACGAGTTTCGATTAAAATTTCGAGATCTAGGTCGAAAATTTATCCTACAATCTTGATCTGTAAGGAGAAGCAGATCATTAGATTCAGAAAGAAGTGATCTTAACTTGCAAGCATTTGAAATCACCGCTGATAGTTCAATTCTCAAATTATGATTAAAAGAGTTTTTTGGTATCTGTTTGCTAAGTAATTTGGCAGCAACGGTGGTTGGAATGAATAATCATCAATGCGAAAAAAAACGACAAAGGTCAAAGTTCAAAAACATAAGTTGCGTAATAACTGCCGGTGATCTGGACAAATCCACATGCTGTGACTCTGATCAATATCATGATCCAATTCGAACTTAGTCGTATGCATGTAACCTGATCTCAGTCTAGTCAAGTCAATGTGTATCATTCAAATCCGGTTGGGGTAGTGTCCACTTAACTCTCTCTCGCCCCCTTTCGCATATCACGTTGAGCCTTCCTAGTATGCTATAATTTTTTTGTGTATTTCTCTGTCCAGGGTGTTTTCTGCTTTCTCCATATTCTCTGCACCCTCCCTCACGTTCGCTATCTATCATGCGGGGCAGGGAATGTCGTTGCTGCCTTCCTCCCTCGTCTCACCCTCGCCTCCTATCGTTCTTCTACCACCCCATTTTGCATATCGCATTTATGCTTTGCCAGGTAAATACCTCCGCTATCACCGATTTGACATCTTTCCTTGTAATGGACGTGACATGTCACGTTTTCTGTTTGTTAACGTACTTGCATGTTAATTCGTTTCTTATTCACCTGACTTGAAGGTTTTTATGCACATAGAAGTTCTTTACTGGCACGTTGCCAAATGCGAATAAATTCACTCAAATTGATAAAGTGAAGAGTGAAAATACACTTTATACAATGAAAAATTGTTTTTACTCTTTTGGCAGCTTGCCAAAAACTGAAGGTCAGAGGATGAACTTGGAGGGAATATGGGTCAGGCTTTTTGAATTGAGGTCAAGTGCTACAGCACCGTACAGTAGACAATAAATTGCGAAATATATCGGTAAACCGAGGTCGCCATTCCGTAATGACCCAGAAATATGTTATGAGTAACGTGTGACGAAGTGACGGAATATGTCAGGAAAGGTTGGTAGCTGTGTAACACACACCGCGATGTCGCGGGTGAATTAGGTTACTCAACATCTCATTTTTGCGTCTTATCTTCTCCTCTATATCTCATTAAATACTTCAAATATGTATTGATTACTTGAATTTATTTAAATAATTAGAATTAGGACAAGAAGAAGTTTGCTTTTTGCGCTGTTTTTGTCTTGAAATATGGAAAATTGTCAAAGTTGAGTAATAATAAGCGTTTTTTATTTTTATGTATATTTTTGTGGACAAGAATTTGTTAAACTTTACAGTTTCATTTTAAATTTACAAATCAAAAATTAATTCAGGTATCGATTTTGGATACAAAAGATTAGTGTGACTTTTGTCTCTAGTCATTGTATACTGTGATGTTCTATATAAATTAATTAACGAGATAATACAGATGTTGCAGTTGTTGCTGATATTTATTATCCAAATTATTTTAACTAAAGGCTAAAATTTAGTTGATTTTAACTGCTTTATGTGTGCACATTACTTTCATTTTCGAATTTATGATCAGATTTTATGTTTACACCACATAGATGCACTATAAATGTTAGATTTGTATTTGCTCCTTATCTCTAAAATCAAGGTCATTTTTGAGAAAAATTTGAGCGATCCCGCAGTAGTTAATTTTGTTCAAAGAATTCGTGCGTTTGCAAGTGAACAAAATCATGGAGTCAAAATGTTTTTTCTACTCAGCAAAATGACAGCTAAGGAAATTCACTGTAATCGCTGAATTACTTCATGATTAGATTTCAAGAGGTAAAGATTGTATGATTCATCATCATCTATCAGGTGAAGTTGTGCTGAGCAATAATCTTTTCAACAAATATAATGATCAGATTTGTAAATTGAATGAGAATTCTACTTTAGATGACTCGAAAAGCTTTAAATTTTATATGTCAAAATTTTTTTATTTGATTCATTTCCTCTTAGCTTTATTGAATTTGATTACACCGACTACATAAATTATTAACTGATATTTTAGCTGCAAGTCAATAAGTTACTACTTTAGTTTACGGTCCATTAAGTATAATGAAGCAAAGCTTAGTGAGAGTGCATAGTGTTATTTTCTCAACATTATTTTTTTGTGAGAAAAAGTGTATTTTTTGACGTGTGCACTTTGATATATGATGAATTCGTACTAAAAGTCGTGTTAATTACCTTAAGTTCAACAATAATTTATGTATTGTAGAATGTGAGTAGGTTCGTATTAATGACATCATACTCTCTATGCGTGGTTATATGTCATATATGTAATGATTGCTGTGGTTTGTGCATGACGTAGATTGCTATTGTTAAGTATATTAAATAGGGGAAAAGGACTGAGTGAAAAAATTAGTTCTTCAGAAGGGAACATAGGTGAGATTATTCATGAAGGATTGAATTATGATGCTTAAACCACTCCCTTAAACTGAGTTGAAGTTATATCGGAACTCTGATCTCAAAGCTTATCGTGATCCGAGATAGAAATATTGGGAAAATTTTACTAGGTCTAACTTTA